CCAGTTGATGGGCAATTGGGCTGCTTCCAAGTTTTAGCTGTTACAAACTGTGCTACCATAAACATGGGTGAGCATATATCACTGTAGTAGGATTCTTTTGGTATAAATCTTTTGGGAAGATGCCCAGCAGGGGAATATCTGTGTCAAATTGATCCTCTAATCCTAATTCTTTGAGGTATCTCCATATTAATTTCCACAGTGGTTGCACCAGTCTGCACTCCCACCAACAATGGAAAAGGGTTCCTCTCACCCCACAGCCCCACCAGCATTTGTTATTGGTTCATTTCTTGACAGCAGCCACTCTTTCTGGGGTGAGGTGGAATCTTGGTGTTGTTTTCACTGGCATCTCTCAGATGACCAGTGAGGTCGAACATTTTTTCATGTGTTTATTTGCTGCTTTTACTTCTTTGTCAAGACTCCGTGTCTTACATGAAGTTCCCTCGAGGTCCCACACCTTCTGGTACTTGTCTCTGTCCTGGGCTGTTCCTCTGTGATGAGCAAGCTCACCTCTAACTGCAATATCCATGCAAGATTGTCCTGCTCCAAGTGACACCTTCCAGACCTCCCAGGGAGCCTTATTTGGTGACAGTGGCAGCAGGCACCGAAAGGCGCCTTGCCCTGTTCTCGTGATACAGCTTGGGATGACCACAAAGACCACTTTCTGAACGGATTTGTGTTTTTCTTTCCCCTGCTTCTGGGAATCATTTCTCTCACAAAGTGAATAAACCTTCTTCACCTCTCAGGGGAGACAGAGAGCTCTCCTTTCTTGATGGATTCAGCCCAAGATGGCTTTCTTTTTTTTTTTCCTTCACATCCTTTCTTATCAAAGTTACTCTAGCAACACATAGTGGCTTATGATGGATCGATTGGTTTCTTCACATCTTGAAATAACCAGGTGTGAACATGCTTAGCAGCAGACCGGTTAGTGTCTGTGTCCGGCCTGTAGCTGATCCCATGTTGTCGCTGTCCGTGATCAGCACACCTATGTGGGTGAACTGTGTAGCCGACATCGACACGGTGGTGACCAGTGACCTCCTAGACAAGCTTCTATCTAGGGTCTTTGCTGGCCACAGTGTAAGATGCAAAGTCTCACTTCCACTCCACCGAGCGTGAATAGCCAAAAAGGTCTCCATGATGTTGGGTCCTGTAGCCCAACGAGGCTCCGGGAGCTCAATGGAGAAACGAGAAACCCAGGAAGGAACACACCAGGCTAGATGATAAACAGACCTTTATTAGTCTGGCCAGACAGCGCTCTCAGAACAAGTAGCTGGTTCAGAGAGGTGCCAACTCAGGGGCTGAGGTCTTTTTTATAGGCTGCTAAAAAGGGGGCGGTTAACATTTTAGTCTTGCAGGCAGGGGACAAAGGTCTGCTGATTTGAGCTGGTGGTCAGCAGCCATGTACTCAGCAGTCACATACTGATGAGTAACAGATACCACCTATAGGATGTTTCAAAGGTCACCAAGACATTCCGGATGAGCAAACAGCTTGACAATTAACTTGGGGTCTCTATGTATTTCATAGTCTAGAACCACTAACTTACATGTTAATCAGGATCCAGACTTCAAACAGTACAAGATTGCCTTACATTCCTAAGCCAGGGTTTGAACAAAGGTCGGGGCTATGGCTACAATGGGAGGGGGTTAGAGCACTGTCTCCTAGGCCTTTTGTCATTTAGCATGGGCTTGTAATTTAGGTCTTACAATACCCACTGATTTTAGGTAGAATCAAATCCTTGATTCATCAATTTGCTTAAATTTTTAGCTAAGGGGTCATAGCAATTTGTAAAGGCATCTCTTAGACAGCTAAGTTGGGGATTAGGATCCCCAGAGCACATAAAGTTTTCATATTTTTATCATCTGTAGGCTCATAAACTCTTAATTTAGAAGCATAATAACTCATAACAGTTTGACACAATGTAAGAGTCTATATCCTGATTTTAGTTCTCATTCTTCAGCATTGCATAGACTCACCAGCTTCTGGTATGGTGAGATCAGGGCTTCGAGTGCGTTGTCTCCTGGTCTCCTGGAGTCAGAATCCCTGGAATCCTGTTTTTACTCTAGAGTGGTGGTAGCTGAGCTTCAGCTACCTTGACAGCTGTGGGTGTAACCCTAAGTGCCTCATATGGCTCTTTTTATATAGGTCAGAAAGGGGTCCTTTTAAAACTTTAACATAAACTCAGTCTCCCAGTTTTATCAGATGGGCAGGAGTTGGCACAGGGAGGTCTTTTTTTATTTTTAATTTACTCTTGAATATTTTTTTTAAATATTTGTCTAATTTTACCAGCTGTGATTTCATACTAGATAAGCCCAGTTGAGATAGTTTTATAAAGTCTCTATAACCTCTGTTATAAATGTTGGCTCATTGTCACTGTCTATGGAAAGAGGCAGACCAAACCTTGGAAATTTTTTTTAAATCTTGCATATCTCTGAAGCCCTCCTTGTTTTTATAGGGAAGGCCTCAGGCCATCCAGAAAAGTACAAACCCATACTAACACATATTTATAACCTTTACAGGGGGTGGGTATATCATCTGAAGTTTCTGTTTAGTGGCCCTTTTGGCTTATCTACCTTAGCATTGCCATTCGCTATTTTATCTTTTTCTTTCTTGAATTATTATAGCTACTTTGTCAGATTTCCACATTGCCTCAAATAACTATATTACATCCTGTTTAATTTTAATAAGTTTGTCCTCTGCTGTGAGAAGCCCACATTTTTATAGACTGTGCCATAGATATATCAAGTGGCAAACAGGAGTCTGTATAAACATTTACCCTCTTTTCTTTGGCCCATCGGAGAGCCTGTATGAGTGTCCACAGTTCCGCTCATTGAGCTGACCATCCAGTGGGGAGGGGTCCTGCTTGGACCATTTCATCTTGAGTCATCTCTGCATAGCCAGCATAGCGTACCCCATTTTCCATGAAGCTGCTCCCATCCTTAAACAGGACGGAATCAGCCTCAGGCAGGGGGTCTTTCTGCAGATCTAGATGACTGGAGAACAATTCGTCAGTGACCCCGAGGCAGTTGTGATCAGGGGGCCAGGTTCTGAGGGCAAAAAGTAGCAGGGTTTAAGGTTTTAACTGGAGCAAAATATAAGGGGGGATTTTCACAGATGAGGGCCTGATATTATGTGACTCTATTATTTGAGAGCCATCAATGTCCTGTTGTTCAATAGTTCTAAAAGGCATGGGAAACTGAACAATTTATTTTTTTCTAATGTTATCTGGTCAACTTCCTTATTAGCATCACTGCAGTTGTCAGGGCTTATAAACAAGGAGCCATCTCTTCATAGCTGGATCTAAGTTCTAAGATAAATATGTCACTGGCTAATTCTATGGGCCTACTCCTTGAGTGAGCACCCCTAAAGCAGTATGATTTGTTTCAGTCAGGTACAAAGTAAAAGGCTGGGTCATATTTAGGATCCCTGATACAGGGGGCAACAGAGGGAGTTGGTTTTAGCTATTTAAATGCTGATTCTTGCTCTTTACCCTACAATAATCACTGTCTTTCTGGCCCTTTAAAGATTTATACATATAGAGAATCTAGATCCTGTAAAAATCTTTTGCCCCCAAAATTCTCTCATCTGCTTTAAGTCCTTTTATCTCCAAGCAGCATAAACTTTATATCTTGCCTTCTGAAGCAGCATTAATAGTCTCTCAATACCCTGTTTTTTTTAGTACATCAGAAAATTATCAATAATCATAATTTTATGTATGAAACTTCATAACCTTTAATCTAATTAGGTATCAAAAGCATTTTAATAGAAACTCTTAATAACTATTTTTCCACAGAAATCCTATCTTGAAAATGAGCACTATAAACATATCACAATAACATATTTAGAATCTAACCCTTTGATGATAACAAATGTAAACATTTTATAACAACATATTTAGCCCTGTTTATTGGTGATATCGTCTCAGAGGGTTTTTAGTGAATAATGACCAGAATAAATTTTTCTGAGTATCTGTCCTTTTACTATTATCAGAAGTCTATTTAGACCTGAGTTTATACTTAATTATCTTGACAAAATTTTAACTTATAAAACCAGGCTATAGAAATTAACAAATTATTAGTATCCTTGCTGTCATTTCAGTCAAATATAATTGGACAAACACTTTTCAAACAATTGTATAGACACAAACTTGTAAGACAATTTGTGAAACTATAATATGCTCAAATAAATGTATTTGGCCAATTGAATTATAAGGCAGGCGGCAGTACCATTGAGCTAAATAAATCGCCAGCCCTAGAACCTCTTTTAGTTAAAACTAGTCAAAACTTTTGCAGATCAATTAACAGATCTCATAGAATTAGAATCAAAAGGAAAGAAAACTCTTTGTTACTTTAAAAGTAAACCTTCTGTAACAAACTTGAAACAAACAAGCAAACATACATATTTTCTTGTTAAATCATTTCCACATACCTTTTCTATATACTTAAGCCTTCTGGTCTTGTATATCTTTTTTTATATCTTTCTAACAAGACAAACATAAAAAATCATTTTATATCAAAAGTATATCTCTTTTTCCCATAGCTTTCCTAGTATCTTCCTCTGTCTCGTTTATTATTAACTTTTTATAATAAACTTTAGCTATTAAAATCTTAAAGTGTTCTTTTTCTGTTCTCAGATTGTTACATCTTAAAATTTGATTGGCTACCCATAGAACAGTATTAACCTTGCGTTCTTATCAACAAAGTATAAAAGAACAAGTTAACCCTATAATCACAATTCAAGAATTTGTAATGCACAAGAAATGTTTAAAGCACACCAATTAAACTTAATTCAAATTGAAACAAAAATACATTTATCAAATAGTTAAAATTTCTAACTTGATTTTTCTTATAAAAATCTCTTGATGTTTGGTAAAACACAATTGCAGTTTTTCTGGCTTGCAGTGTTTTTTCTCTTATATTTTTGTCTTTCAGAATTTTCCTATCTGATTTTAATCCATTAGAGATTTTCTCATTTTAGTTCTTTCTAATCTGAGTGTAAGCCCTATTTCATCTTTTTTTTCCTGAGTCCCATCATGCTTTCCCATCTGTACCCTCCAGTGCAGTAAAGCTAAACAACTTTGTTCTTGTCCCTTACCTCCTCCACACCTGTGATCTTAACATCTCAGGGAGGGGATGCAGCTTGACCTCCTCCAAAGGGGAAACACTGGGATTTGCCTGTAACGATGTCAAATTTTCTGAGAGGCAAGTTTACCATGGGAAAAACAGCAGATTTGGCAAGCAATTGTTTTAAGACCAAAACTAAATAGTTCTCACTAGTAGCTGATTACCATGGAGCAGAAGCTTGAGCAATTCCTAGAATACATAGGCTCCAAGTTATCAAAGTCTCAGGTAAGCGAAACAAAGGCAGATAACTTTCTTTTTGTCTAGAGTTTTTTTCTGGGGGCCAAGTCTGGCTTAGCTGAGACCATGATAACTCGCAAAGTTTTTAAAGCATCTTTGGTTGCAGTTTTATCTTATAGTCCCCCACAAAATCTGTATCAAATTTTTGAATTATGCACTTAAGAACAGTTGGTTTAGTATTAGCATTTCCCATAACCATTAGATATTCCCTTGTCCGGTGATGCAAGACAAAGGGTGGGGTGCAGTTCCAGAAAACGGCCTTGTTTATTCATCTGGCAAGCCCTACTTCCTTTCTTTTGATGTACAGAGGAGGCTACCGAGCTCGTTCCACTCACTCTCCTAACCAAGTCTCTTTGACACACACAGTCACATAAGAAGTTAACACATTCCCTCCCTGGGTCCCCTTCCAAAGACAAACTAGGGAGCAACCCAGGGGATCTTACCATTCAGACAGATGATTTCATTCATTTTCCTTCTTTCTGTTCCACTACCGGTGAGCTGGCCTCCGTGTCCTAGAAAGGGAACCCAGGAAATCCTGGGGACGCGCCTCTTCCCTTCCGAGGAGGTGGGCAGTCACTTGCTCCAGTGGGACTTGGGTTGACACAGGGAGTGAAGCTTTCCATGAGAGAATTTAACCCTGTAATCATCCTCTGCTCAGGGGAAAAGCCAATTTTAAAATAAGAGAGAAAGCAATCCAGCTGGGCGTTCTTGGTGCCAGATCCTCCCATCCCTGTTTCAAGGAAAACGCAAAGTTAACACACAACAGACAAGACCCTGACAAGACAAACAGGTGCCACAGAAAACAGCTTTGATTCTACTACCCGGAGTCCTTGTCAGGGCTGGGTCAGGGGAGGCTTCCTGGCTCTTCAGCCACCTCGATCCTGACAAACAAGACAGTTGCAACCGGTTCAAAGCTTACCTCCGGAGGCTTTCAAAGGTCTATGTCTGAGAATCTCCTGCTGGATCCCGCAACAGAGAAACTCAGTCGGATTTACAGTTCCCACTTGGGCATCTCACTGGGGCCTCCAATTGTAAGACGCAAAGTCTTATTTCCACTCCACGGAGTGTGAACAGCCAAAAAGGCCTCCACAATGTTGGGTCCTATAGCCCAACGAGGCTCCGGGAGCTCGATGGAGGAACGAGAAACCCAGGAAGGAACACACCAGGCTAGATGGTAAACAGACCTTTATTAGTCTGGCCAGACAGCACTCCTGGAACCAAGCAGCTGGCTCAGAGAGGTGCCAGCTCAGGGGCTAAGGTCCTTTTTATAGGGGGGTAAAAAAGGGGGGTTAACATTTTAGGCTTGCAGGCAGGGGACAAAGGTCTGCTGATTTGAGCTGGTGGTCAGCAGCCATGTACTCGGCATTCACATACTGATGAGTAACAGATGCCACCTATAGGATGTTTCAAAGGTCACCAAGACATTCCGGATGAGCAAACAGTTTGATAATTAACTTGGGGTCTCTAGGTCTAGAGCCACTAACTTACACATTAATTTGGATCCAGACTTCAAACAGTACAAGATTGCCTTACATTCCCAGGCCAGAGTTAGAACAAAGGTCGGGGCTATGGCTACAATGGGAGGGGATTAGAGCAGTGTCTCCTAGGCCCTTTGTCATTTAGCATGGGCTTGTAATTCAGGTCTTACAACAGGCAAGTTGGGAGAAACATGTCTTTGATTCTGCACTAAGACAGAGAGAAACACCACATGCCAGGGGCTGGTGGCTGTCACAAGGTTAGAAGGATAATTTTTACTCAAATGTCCTGATCTGGGTGGGTCCCTCTGTAGTATTTTTTTTTTAAACAAATTTGGTCATTTCATGGCATGATTAAAAAGTGAAAGAATTTGTAATCATATATTTCAGTAAAGATAAAAATACGTGAAAGTCATGACCCAACTATGAAGCAAATAACATATGGCATGATCTGGAGAATTAGGACGACAGAAGAAAAGAAGCCATTCCTTTATGCCTGAAACATTTTGCTTAAATGAGCATAGATTTAAAGATACAAAGACAGGGCCAGGGATTTACCTCAGTGGTGCTGCCACCTGCTATAAGAACAAAATCCTGAGTTCGATCCCTATTACCCCCCCCACAAAATATAAAGACTGGATATGCAGAAAGAGGTAAATCACCTGGGTACTGTGAATACTTTTACATACTACAGTACAACAACTACTTTTTGATTTGCAGTTTTTTTTTTTCAGTACCAGGAATTGAACTCAGGACCTTGCACTTGCCAGGCAGGTGCAGCACCACTGAACTAAATCCCTGACCTAATTTGCCACTTTTGAAATCAATATATAAAGGGGAAATATAAGTCAAGTATAGAGCCCCCAAATAATAAACATCCATTAAAAGTGGTAACATAAAGCAGCAGTATGATTTACAGAAATGAGGTGATTATAAGTTGAAAATACAGAGCTGGCCATTTCCTCCTTTAAACAAAAGACTGTTTGAAGTCAATGGGTTAAGAAATAAAGATTACTAATTAAAATTATAAAGGTAACCAAAACTGCATTCACAGTGGACAATCATCAAGTCCTGCTCAGGAACAGTGGCAGTAAACGTTCTGTTAGCTCTAAGAAACAAACGTGGATGGCAGGCAGGAACACTTTTTATTTCCTGTCTGAATTGTTTAGAATTTTTACTCAGGTACAAGCACTGAAGTTAAAAATTTTTAATCTTCAAACATCAAAGCTGGCTGCTCAGAATCTTTGTTGTATTTCTATTTAGCAAAACTTGAGGAGTTCCCAGGGAAACTTGGGGCTCAGATGCCCATCCTGTGCCGTCTTCCACACCGTTGGGCACAGGGGATACATTACTGCTGCCCTTCATGCCGTGGAGCGAAGTGCTTATGAGAACAAATCTTTTATTGGTTCGGTGTTCTTTTTGAAACTCCTTTCTTTCTTTCTTTTCCTTTCTTTTCTTTTCTTTTTTTGGTTTTTTGAGACAGGGTCTCACTGTGTAATTGAGACTGACCTGGAACTCACTACGTAGCCCAGGCTGGTCTTGAACTCATAACAATCCTCCTGCCTTAGCCTCCTTAGTGCTGTGATTACAGATGTGTGCCACCACGCCTGGCCGAAACTCCACTTTCAAGGGCCAGGGATTTAGCTCAGTGGTTCCGTCACCTGCCTTTGCAAGCGCAAGGGCCCGAGTGTGATCCCCGGTACCAAAAAATAATAACAAAAAGCAAAAACTCCACTTTCTAGAGGGCAAGAGTGCCAAGGCTGCCTGCTGCCGTGGGAAGCTGGGTGGCCGAGTGTACACAGACCAGCTCAGCCTGCGTGGCATTCTGAGACCCTGTAACACACAGGTTTCCTGTCCGCACTGCCAGCCTGATCCATGTGAGTGGTGGGGGTGAAACTCTCAGAGGGCTGTTTCTTCCTCTAAAGTCAGCCAGGATGTTCTTCTCAGAAGTCACTGGACTCTTACAAAATGTCAAAAAAAGCAAAAAATACCAGACACACTGAAAACTTTTGCATGACAGGTTCACTTTGAGGAGAGGCCATGTAAAAGCAAGCATTTGGCTTCAAAGAAAATGATCCAAGTCACTGAGAATTATCCAAAGCATAATTCGGCTTTTCGAGACATGAACATCTTCAACCATCCTGGAGTCCCCACTGGGCTTCTGGGTGCTAAACTCTGTGCATGTACACATGTTGCAAAAGTGAAAACACGATGTGGTCTCTGCATCCATCTGTGGTTATTAATGGGAAAGGTGGGGGGTCACAAGGAATGAACAAGCCACAATCTCATCGATTATGTTCATACCAGACAGGAGGGAGAGTGCTGTGTGTGGTGCTGAGGAAAAGAATCACTGGGGAGGTGGGGAGGGCCGGGGATTTAGCTCAGTGGTTCTGCTGCCTGCCTTGCAAGGTACAAGGTCCCAAGTTTGATCCCTGGTACAAAAAAAAAGAAAGAAAGAAAGAAAAGAAAAGAAAAGAAAAGAAAAGAAAAGAAAAGAAAAAAAGAAAAGAAAAGAAAAGAAAAGAAAAGAAAAGAAAAGAAAAGAAAAGAAAAGAAAAGAATAGCTGGGGAGTTGACAACTAAGGGTGGCGCAGAAAGGATGAGAACCAACAAAGCAAGGGGTCTGCTCAGGGTACTGAAAGGGACAGGTGTGGCCTGAGGGCAGAGGCCAGGTGGCCATCTGGAAAGATGAGCAGGACATTGGGTTCCAGTCTACGGTGCACAGGCCGCCATCCACAGGACGTCCAGGCTTGCTTGTCAAGAAATAACATTTCAGGGCTGGAGGAGGTGAGATGGCTCCATGCAGCAAAGATGGGATATCTCTTCATTGCCTCTTGCTTGTGGACATTGAAGTTGGGTCAGGCCACAGCCCTAGAATAAGCACATTTCCTTGCTTTCAGAGTTTCCCCTGCACCAGTGGTTCATGCACCAGATTCCTGTAACTTTCTAATCCTCCGTGGGGACCTCATTCAAGCAGCCTGGATTTAATGGCTCTACTGTTTCCACCTTTAGGTTCACAGTTTCCTGAACAGTGGGGGAGATGTGCTTTAGGAGAAATCTCTTGGCTTTGTTTTCAGGGCATTTTCTTTGGGGCTCAAGGTACCATTTCACCAGACCTATGCAATCAAAGAGCTTATATAAAATTTTTCACATTTTCTGGCAGGGGATTAAGTTCAGCAGTGCCACAGCCTGCCTCGCAAGGTGCAAGGTTCTGAGTCTGAATCCTGGTGCAAAAAAAGAAATTCACCTTTTCCTAAAAGAGTAGCACAAAATAATCAGCAATCCCACTAATATCCGCTGACCCTTTTTTGGCTATGTTCTGAATTCATTTTGTTTGGGAAGAATTTTGTGGTAAGAAGAATGACCCCAATATTTTGTTCTTGTCTGTCTTACATAGTAATCAAAAGCTCATTTTCTTTCTTTCTTTCTTTCTTTTTTTTGTACCGGGGATTGAACTCAGGTCCTTGCGCTTGCAAGGCAGGCCACCGAACCACTGAGCTAAATCCCTAGCCCAGCAGCTCATTTTCTTTAAAAACCCAGTGAGAGAAAAGAAAACCATTGCCCCCAGCACAACACTTTCACCTCCTTGTCCACGGGCTCTCAGGTGACACCTGGGAGGCGAGCAGCCAGCAGGAGAGAGGCTCCGGAGCAAGTTCCCAGGAAAACATCTTCAGCCACCTGTGGAGGAGGGCACAGGTGTGGGGCAGGGGCTCCAGTTGGGACAGAGCCCGGGTGTGGGCAGGGCCTTCTAGTCCCAAACTCCTCCTTCGTGCCATCCTGCCAGGGCACCCGAGGTTCACAAGAAAGTTACCTGCTCACTGCTGCCCACTGAGAAGCCCATTTGTGGTAGGAATTGGGGTCCGTTGGACAGACCGTCCACTGATCTGATGATCGATGAAATCACCATGAAAAGAGTCACCATGAAAGCGTGCAGCGTGACAAGGATCCTGCCTCCCATCTCGGGCCGGCTGATGTCTCAAAGCAGCCTTCAGTCTTGGAGAGGGCAGAAGGAGCAAACCCCAGGCTTTGTTTCCCAGAGCTGTGCCCGACACATTCGTCCACGAGCAGCGTTGTGAACAAGTCAGATCTGTGGCCAAATAAGTTGGTGCAGTTCTTTAAAAGAGATCAATTTTTCAGAGTTTATTTTTAATTAAAGCAATTGAAAAAAATATATCAAAGCACATGAATCTTAGCTGTGTGGCTCAGTGAATTTTTTACTTATATTCACATGCTATACCCACCACCCAGACCAAGTGTAGAGTCACGCAGCAGTCCTGAAAGGTTCCTCCGCCCTTTCCAGTAAAAATCTACCAACGTTAACCACTGCTCTGACTTCATCCCCGTAAGTCTTGCTTGATTCCGACTTCGTGGGAAGGGAACCATGAGTGTATCCTTTCCCGCCTTGGACGTCGTACACAACCTCACATCTGTCAGTGTGTGTCACTTGTTCATATTGTTGTGGTTGTGTAGCCTGCTGTTGATGGAAATTTTCTTTTCCTTCCTCCCCCACTCCCTTCCTTCTGTCCTGCTTTCCTCCCCACCTTTTCTTTCACTCTTTTCCTGTACTGGGGATTGAACTCAGCGCCTTTCCAGTAAGCTGCATCCCCAGCTCAAACTTACGATCCTCCCACCTCCGCCCCC